GGACTTCGCCGTCTACTCCACCGCCGTGTACGTCTTCACCGAGGGCTACTACAGCCTGGCCAGCCCCCCCCGGGAGACCAACCTGGGGGTGCTCTGGTGCCTGCTGACCGTCCTCTTCTCCGTGTATCCCTCTGCTGCTTTCCAGGCTCCCATTCATTGGGGGGCCAGCCTGGAACCCCCCGCCCCACAGAGCTGGAAATCTTCGTTTTACGGGTGTATAAAGGTTTATAAACCCCCCAGTGAGGAGCTGGGAAGGCGCCTCCCGAGCCCTTCCCCGCGGAGAAGGTGCTGGTGGCCTGGTGGTGTGGGTGATTCACACGTGCTGGTGAGCAGGGGGGGTGTCCCCTCGGTGCTGGGGGGTCCCCTGAAGGGCCTGTTTTCCTTGACGGGCTGCCCCGGCCCCCAGGAAGGTGTTTTTCATGGTGATGCGCCACTATTTCCGCTCGGAGGAGGGGGGGGAGCGCTCCGTGTGCCTCACCTTCGCCTTCTTCTTCCTCCTCCTGGCCATGGTGGCCCTGGTGGTCCGGGAGGAGCACCTGGAGTTCGGCCTCGAGGCCGGTGGGTAGGGGGGGACGAGGGGAAGTGGGTGGGAAGGGGGTCCCAGGGGGGCCTGCGGGCACCCCACTTGTGGGGGGGGTCACATCCCAGTCATGGGGGTCACATCTCACTCTTGGGGGGGTCACATCCCACTCTTGGGGGCTCATATCCCACTCATGGGGGTCACATCCCAGTCCTGGGGGTCACATCTCACTCTTGGGGGTGGTCACACCACACTCTTGGGGGCTCATATCCCACTCATGAGGGTCACATCCCAGTCCTGGGGGTCACACCCTGCTCCTGGCTGGGGGTGGGGTGTCACACGGGGGTCACACCTCGCTCATGAGGGTCGTATCCCACTCACAGGGGATCACACCCTGCTCATGGGGGGGGGTCTTATCCCACTCGTGGGGGTCTCTCCCCACTCAGAGGGGTCACACCCCACTGATGAGGGGGTCACACCCCATTGATGGGGGGTCTCTCCCCACAGGGCTGGCCGGGGTCAGCACTAACCTGGAGCCCCTCCTGAAGCAGCGGGGCTGGGAGTGGACGTGAGTTGCTGACTGGGCAGGGAGGGAAATGGGGCTTTTTGGGAGGTTCTTCGTGGGGCAACACCCCCCCACACACACTCCCTTCTCCCTCCACAGGCTGCCCCTGGCCAAGCTGGGCTTCAAGCTGGGGCTGGTGGCCCTTTGCTCCTTCCTGGGCGCCTGCCTGACCTTCCCGGGGCTGCGCCTGGCCCAGACCCACCTGGATGCCCTCAGGATGGCAGCTGACCAGCCCCTGGCACAGTTGGGTGAACCCTGGGGGTGGGCAAGGAGGGAGAGGGTCAGTGCTGGCACTTCAGGGGCTGGGACACCCCCCTGGCTCTGTGGCTGCAGGGCAGGGGCGGGGTTGGGTGGGGATGGGCTGGGATGGAGGGACTTTGGTGGTGGAAGGGGTTTGGGCCAGTTGGAATGGAGGGGGTTTGGTGGAAGGATGAGCACTGGCTGGGATGGGGGGGG